GTCCCCAATTCATAGCAACCCTAAACACAATTGAATAAAACGTTACCTTGTCCTAGGCATCCCCGTGATTGGTAAAGGAATGGACCATTGTGATCCATAGGTTCTTTCAATGGCTGATTCTCAGAAACACTATCTCTAGGCCTTTCTTCCTAGTCCATCTTAATCTGGAAGATCTGTTGAAACCTGTTCAGCAGGATACAAGCTTCCACTGACACATGATGGCTTGTGGCTCATGTGAAGTACAAAGGCTGGGAATCAAATCCAGGCTTCCTGTATGAATGGCAAGAATTCTACAACTGAGCCACGACTGCCTTCAGGGCTCTTATACTGACAGATATATGAGTCGTTGTTGATAGCAGGAAGATAGATAATGAGTTTAGAGTTTAGGAAAGAGGTACAAGTTGAAGACATTAGAATGAAGTAGGGAATAGACAGTGTTCAACGCCACAATGTGGACAGGCTGAGATCCTGTGTGAAGTGGAAGCAGACAAAAGAGCAGAGATCTGACAATGAAGAACTGGGGTACTCCAATGTCAACAGGTTGGGGAAATAGAAAGGACCAACCAAAGGAACCTGAAGATGAATGGCTAGAGCAGTCAGAAGAGATTTGTTTTTAAAACCCTCCTCTGGCATATAAAATGGACTGGATGGGGGAAAGGTAACACAGAGCTGATAAAGGCAGGTGAGTTAATTAGCTGCAAAAAGGACTTCAATGGCAAGCTAAGCCCTACATCGTTCAGCAAACTACTGTGAACCCAGGTGGAGACCTGGTCAGCCAGCAGCGAGGCAAGACCTAGGGACTCATGGGCTCAGAGTCAATGACACAGCCACAGAGGACTAGAATGGAGAGCGGGGGGGACAGCCGATAAAAAGAGGGCGGACAGACGCAAGAACACCCACACTTGCAGATGATGCCCACTTGACCTGGCTTCAATGACTGGATAAACAGAGCTCAACCCGAAGAAGAAAGAAGAGGGAAAAAAGTGTCATCTGATACAATTCGATAAACATGACCTACACCTATAAACCCAGTAGCTCAAAAGAGGAAACAAGTCCCTGCTGCAAGAACTATTCCCACCCCCTCCACACAAAGGGTAGACAGGGATGGGCAATTTGCACATTGGCTACCCAAAATGGGGGAAGGGATACAAAGGTAAGAAGTGACTGGCTTACAAGCTTTCAAGAGGGAACCTAGATCCAAAGGGTGTGGAGGAAGGTAGAGTCTCCAGTGAATAGTGTCCAGCCTGTCCAGGAAGGGCTGATGAAACGAAATACAGACAGGTCTCTTGTGATGCAATAGTGAATAATTGTTATCAGAACTGATTGTGAGGGTTGGAAATCTAAAGGTGGACATTTTGTAGCAAGGGGGGGAGTGATTAACTTTTCAGTCTAGGAGCAGAGGACCCTAGGACCATAAATGGAGAAAAGCAGAGAGTGGGATCCTACCCAGGGAAGCAGTGAGGCCTGAGATGGAGGCAAAAAAGACGACGTCAAGAGATGGAGTGGCTGAGGACTGTGGTGGGGGCGTGCAGGCTTACAGGGTACACCCTCTGGTTGGGTGAGGATGCATGGATGGGATGGTAAATATGCCAATGAAATGATAGATGACAGAATGAATGTAAAACCGATGTTCTCCCATGTAGACTATCACACAATTCACAATAAAACATTTATTTTTTTAAAAAAAGGACTTCAAACAGGACAGAGGCCTGGGCCTACTCAAGGATCTCTGCCAGAGAGGCTGTCTATCACACCAAAGTATAAAAATGCCCATAAAAATGGAAAAGGCAATCTTAACAAACAGTAGTATACATCCAAGGGACACTTTGGGGATCCAGGTAGCCCACCCATCATCTATAGGAGCAGTCACTCATCTATGCCAAAACATTTGAAAGAGAGCTGGGTGGCCACCTAACTGGAAGAGGCCAGATTCTTAAGAAATGGCATTAACAGAATGAGGAAATTAATGAAAAATAACATTAGTATCACACGTAAAGTGTTATTTTGCTGAAGATAATTCAAAAATAGTTGCAGCAATACATTAACAAGGAACCGCCAGAAGTTTACGCCTGATGTAAAAGAGGACTTGGGTTGTGAGAGAGCATTGTTGATGTTGGATGCATCTTGGCAAAAAAAAGAGGCTATCAAAAGGATGTTTACTTGTGTTTTATTGACTATACAAAGGTGCTCAACTGGGTTAATCATAACAAATTATGGGTAACATTTTAATAACGGGAATTCCAGGACATTATTCATGCTTAGGGACACCTGGTGTGGTGTTATAGGATAAGCACTGGACTGAGAACCACATGGCTGGAGGTTCAAACCCACCAGCTACTCCTTGGAAGCCCTATACAAAAGCAACTCAATGGCACTTAACAACAACAACTCATTCTTATGCAGAACCTGTAGCACAGAACTTTGTTTAAACAGAATAAATGGCTACTGTACGGTTTAAAATCAGGAAAGGTGTGTATTGGGGCTGTAGTCTTTCACCATACTTACTCATTATGTATGATGAGGAAATAATCCAAAAAGCTGGACAACACAAAAAAATGCGACATAAGGATTGGAAGAAGGCTCATTAACAAACTGTGATATGCAGTTATACAAACTTACTTGCTGAGATTGAAGAAAATTTGAAGCATGTAGTGATATACATCAAAGACTACAGCCTTCAGTATGACTTACACTATTACACTTCAACACACAAAAGTCCTTACAACTGAACCAATAAGCAACATGAAATATGGAGAAAACCTTGAAGTTATCATGGATTTCCTATTACTTGCATCTACAGCCAACGCTCCTAGAAGCAGCTGTATCAAACTGCAGTAGGTAAATTTGCTGCAAAAGACCACTTTAAAGTGCTGAAAAGCAAAACTGTTCTTTTAAGGATTAAATACACGGGACCAAATCACGGTACTTCCTAATAGAGGGCATTGAATGAACATTTCATGTTTCCCTGAAGTAGAGTGCCACTAACCCTCTGTCAGTTTGTCACACTGTGGTGGCTTGGGTGTTGCCATAAAGGATGTCACCAGTATTTCACAAATACTGGTAGCACCACCCATGATGGACAGGTTTTATCAGAATTTCCAAACTACTACAGACTAGGTGTTCTATACCCAAAAATAATCCAGTGAAAACCTATGGCTCACAAGAGGATATTGTTCAAAGAAACTATTTCTAATGTTCACAGCTGCAGAGATAAGATCCAATTGCATTCAAAGCAACTACGCATAAAAATTATAGAGATGCAAAGTATGACAGACTTCTATTATTTGCTTTAAGCATAATAAAAAAGAAAGTCTTTACTGACAAAATATCTTACAGTGTACTACTATTTTTCTTTGCCCAGTAAAGCATTTGCTGTTTCAATGCCCGATTCTAGAGGGACTCCTCAAAGGTTATTCCTTATGCCTTGAGAGATAATCATAACTGGCTTCCAGGTATGTTTTGTTCTTCATTCCAGTTATATTATTGATTGATTCCACAGAGTCAAAACAGCAAACCACAAATAAGAAAGTACAATAAAGTTTTGTAAAGTGAAATAAAACTGGGAGGGAAGGAGACCATTTCACTTTGTCCACAAATCAAACTGTATCTTAAAATGTCTTTCACTCCACCATGTTCTCGCCAACCTAGGTCTCTCCCTTCTAACTTCCCACACTGTACCCTCCTTGACTCTGCAGTTCCAGTGTGTGAAAAGCCCTAACACTGAAGTTTCCTCTCATGAATCAACTTCAAATGCTTAAATCTTACCCATATTTAGAGGTCCAGCTCAAATATCAACATATCCATGAATTTTTAAACTCCTCAGCAGGAAGAAATCGTCCCTTTCCTAGCTAGCGAAAGTGCAGAAATTTACCCAAGTCTCCTCATAATATTTAACATGCTCCATCTTATATTAATAGTTTTATGCTTACTCTCTACCCTTAATACATATTTATGTGTATGTGTGTATGTGTTGTTGTTAAGTGCTATCGAGTTGGCTCCAACTCATAGCAACCCTGTATAGGATTTCTGTGAAGAGGTTGGTGGGTTTGAACCACCAACCTTGTGGTTAGTAGTCCACTGCTTATCCTACACCAGGACTTATGTGTGTATACAAATATATAAAAAGATACAGAACATGGAATTAAAAAGCAATGGAATTTTTCCTCCAAATTTTTTTTTGTTGAAACTTTCTATAGTAAATTGACTGAAGATTTACAAAGCAGATTGTGTTTTGCAGCCAACAAATAACAGAATTTGTCTCATCTCAAAGACTGCAATCCCTTCCACGAAATCAGTTCTCCCCCTTCAGCCCTGTGCTTCCTATCTCTATTCCCCCATCCTCCCCACACCTTCTGAACTTTGTCCTTAGGTACACATTGCCCTTTTGATCTTGAATGCTTGACCACTCCATGCAGAGCAGACCTTACTAGCATTCTTGTCCCCCTGTATACCTACCTATTTACCGCTTGGCTGAAAAACTGGGCCACGAGGGTGAGTCCCCAAACATTTTGAAGCCCCTTTTTATTTGCAGTTATTTATTTACATGTTCAATCTCTTCTAAACTTTCTAAAGGGTCACTAAACTTTCACGGATAAACTTGGTGCCAACTGATATTTGCTCCCTGCAATGTCTCTCAAAGTGTCGCTGTCGTTGTTAAGTGCTGTAGAGTCCATTCTAACTCATAGCGACCCTGTACAGGGTTTCTGAGGTGCAGCTTGTGAGTTTGAACCACCAATCTTGTAGTTCACTATTCAGTGCTTATCCCATAGTATCACACCAGGAGTCTAGAGAGTAGGAAATGACCAAATGAAGGAGCATACAATAATTCATTCGTATCGCATATTGCTTTGTGTACAATTTGCAAACTGAAATGAACAAAGCCACATGATATGCTAAAGTTTCCATGTCAACAATTGCATAAATACAGACTTTGCTCCTCTCCTCTCCACCTTGGATTACATAGCAGCCATACTGGAGGGAGAGACTCAACACACACTCACCGTGAGGTGCCCTTCATGATGGTCTGGGAAATGAATGAACAAGTACTCTGTAGCAACCAGCTGCATGATGGAGTCACCTAGGAATTCCATCCTCTGGTTGTGGCCTCTGAAAAGAAGAGCATCAATGTAAACAGACCGAAAAGCATGTGTGAAGTACAAAAAATAATAATTATAATAATAACCACACACACACAATGCCAGGATCTTCAAACAGGCATTGTCTAAAAATGTAACGTTACAGTTTTCATTGTGCTTTAAAGCACAAAATAAATATAATTTTCTAAGGTCACTCAATTGAGATCTGAGCCACTAAAGTGTGAGCTTCAGAGACGAGTATAGTGAGTATTATTTCAATAGTTAAGCAATTGCTAAAATAAAGATTGGCATTAGTACCTACTTAGACAAGAATAATTATCTTACAGTAAAACAAAGCAAACAGGCCCCCAAGAATTTATTTTCTTTCTTAAATCTCTTTTGGAATATATACTCCATTACTTAAACCTGGACTCCAGTTGAAAGACACTTTTAAACTCTATCATCAGGCTCTCTGGTTTTTCTAATTCAGAGAGTTGGTAAATATGTGATTGGAGGAGAGCCCAAAACTGAACAACAACAACAACAAAAAATACACAAATAAATATTTAGTTATTCTCTTAATTATTTCACTAGTTGAACTTCAAACCATTCATATCCAAATCCGATCCAGTGTCAACTTCTATAAATAGTTTTACTGGAACACATTCATTCACACTCTATCTATGGCTGCTTCTGTGTTCCTTTGGCCAAAAAAAGGTGAATTGCTGCAAGAGACCACATGACTGACAAATCTAAAATATTTAGTATCTGTCCCTTTATAAAAAAATTTCATTTCCTTCTCCACGTTTTTCTGTATGTCACTAACAAACAAGTCGCCTACCAGTTGGACCTACAAGAGTGGAATGACGCATAGCCCTGGTTTCTACCCCTGTCTGGCTGCTCTGCCATCTCCTGGAAATATGGGAAAGAATTCCACTTCGTTTGAGGGGCTACATGTGGCAAAGGTTTGAGACAGCTTCATCTAAGTGGTCGTGTTGGGACTACATGAGTACTCGTAACTCACAGGGTCAGATGGTTAAACCCCACGGTTCTCAGTGTGAATGCCCGAGCCAGAAGTCGAACGTGAGTGAAAATGACTCCAATTGCTTCCTCAAACTCAGTAAGTTTCTGCAGAACCGGGGAAGTCTCGATAAGTTGTCGATCAGTATTTGGCTCTTGTAGCTGTAGGAAAACAGAAATAAATAAAAATTATGTGGTGCAGTTTTAGTCACATTATAAATGATCAATTTTAGGATAGAAAGTGTTTTGTAAAAAAATTGTTTTCCCGTGGGAAGGATTTCTGAAATGCCAACAAAACACACAGGCGTCTTTCTCATCTCTTTCAATGGCAAACAAACCTAATATTTAAAGAAGGCTCAAATAACATTTTTCAATCTTCTTTCAAATTTCAAGGCCAAGTACTGTACACAGATAGTTCAAAAATTCTGAATATTATGCTAAATCTCCAAGGAAGACACAAGCTGGAAAATAGCTGGTGGGAAATATATATATCTATGAAAGCTGTGGTTCCCAAACTTTAGCGTTCATCTGAATGTTTGCAAGGCTTGTCCAACACAGATGGCTGGGCCCTGTGGTTGGCATCTCTGATTCAGTTTGAGGACTAAGGTGTGTCTGATTCAAGTCATGGTATTTTCAATAGCCTCATATGCACGTGAAAGTTGGACAATGAATAAGGAAGATGATAGAAGAACTGATGCATTTGAGTTACAGTGATGGAGAAGAATATTGAAAGTATCATGGACTGCCAGGAAAACAAACCAATCTGTGTTGGAAGAAGTCCACCCAGAATGCCCTTTGGAAGTCAAGATGGCCCAAGTTCATCTCTCATACTTTGGACATATTATCAGGAGAGACCAGTCTCTGGAGAAGGACATTATGTTTGTTAAAGTGGAGGATCACCGAAAAAGAGGAAGACCCCCAACAAGATGGACTGGCACAACCGCAACAAAGATTCTGAGGTTGGTGCAGGACCGAAGAGTGTTCCATTTTGTTGTGCAAAGTGTGGCTATGAGTCGGAACTACCAAGGCCTAAAGTGGAGCCTGAGAACCTGCCTTTCTGACTCATTCTCAGCTAATCCTAGAGCTACTGGTCTGGGAATCATCCTTTGGGAACCACTAAGTTATAGCAACTTGACCACTGTTATGTCCTCTAGGCACTAATGTATTTTGGCATATGGATATCATGAAACTGGATTCAGCTCACACTGGAGATTATTCTCCAAGTAGGTGCATCCGAGAACAAATGAACAACTTTAGGCAAGTTTGAATGATTCATTTCTATTAATGAAATCTTTTTAAAGGTCTCTGAATTGATGACTTTTATTATTATAAAGTCTCTATGAGATTATACTCACTAGTGATCATTCTCATCATGTGTATTTTATGAGTATCAAGGAGCTCTGGTAGCCTAGTGGTACGAATCGGACTGCGAACCTCAGGGTCAGCAGTTCGAAACTACCAGCTGTTCCATGGGAGAAAGATGAGGCTTTCTGCTCCCGTAAAGATTTACAGCCTCGGAAACCCTATACAGGGTCGCTATGAGTCGGAACCGACTCCCTGGCAATAACAATGACAACAACAATTTTATATACACAAACATGAATATGCAAATGTATACAAACACATAGAGGAGGCCTGGTGGCACAGTGAGCTAAACTCTCGACTACGAACCACATGGTCACTTGTTCAAACCCACCAGATGCTCTGTGTAGAAAGACGAGGCTCTTTGTTCTAGTAAAGATTTACAGTATCGGAAACCTTCTGGGGCTCCTTTGTCCTACAGGGTTGCTGTGTGTCCGAGTCGACTCGATGGCAGTGGTTTTGGGTACTGCTGTAGGATAAACGCTGGACTTCTAAAAAGGTTGGTAGTTTAGACCTACCAGTCGCCACACTGGAGAAAGATGAGGCTTTCTGATCCTACGAAGATTTACAGCCTTGGAAACCCTATTTAGGGTTGTTATGAGTCAAAATTAAATAGCTAGCAATTGGTTGGGTTGGGTTTTTGTTTTTTTTAAGAATACAATACGAGGGGGCTTCAAAAAGTTTGTGGGAAACTTCCATTACCTTATTTTCACTTTCCACAAATATTTTGAAGCCCACACATACACATACATACATATCTCTTAAGTAAAAGAAAAATAAAAGCAAAGGCTAGTAACAATTTTCCAACTAATTGGGGATAAGGGTGTTGCCATGCATAAATTTTGGAATCACGAGGGAAAGTTACTGCATTGTAAGGAATCTTTAATTCACAATATGTATGTTTCACGCAATCTGTCAAAGCTTGCCGTGTCTAAGATCCAAATCAGGTTACAATGTAGAAATGTATTTTAGTATTCTACTTTTTCAGCAAGCCCAGACTTGCTTCCATATTATTTTCTCTATAATAACAGACATGTAGATAAACAAGAGTGAAAATATTATGCTTGAAATATCACTTGGTTTTCTTTGGCAAAACAGCAACTAGGCAAGCAACTCTTCCATCTTGGTGAGGGAAGGGACTCCCTGTGGCCTTGCCTCAGCCCAGGCACAGCAACATAATATACAGGTTCAGGTGACTGCTTGTTTCACAAAGTTTTCTAGTTCTGACACCACAGCTGAATGTCATGATGCCACTGAAGGGAATCAAAGGATAAAAGCGGCGAGGGGAAGACAGAAAAGGCAACTGAAAGGAAAACAAACAGCAGGTGCTATAGGGCTGGCTGCAGACAGGAAGGACTTACTTACTTGGAGTGGGTGGAGAGGATAGTTGAGCCAGACTTCGCGAAGGTCCTGGAAAACAAAGTGCTGTCTTTAATGCCTGAGGGGACCATCGAACACACTCTGGAGTACTAAATAAACTGTCATTATTTGAAATACTGGACTCTTTCGGTTGCTGACTCCACTTATTGCAAATTCAATAGTGCTAGCAAATGAATTTTTTAAAGTGTATTCACCACTCAAACTGTCTATAGTGATTCTAATTAGCCATTCTGCCCCTCCTCCCCCAAAGTCAAAGACACCTTTTAAAACGGAAAGGTACAGATTACACTCTGGTAATCTAATACACTGGATTGAGCTGCTGTTTTAACCATTATTTTTTAGCTCCTTATTACCCAGAAGTCCTGGTGTGGATAAGCACTGGGTCTCAAGGGAGGTTTTAACTGCAAGGTCAGCAGTTCAAATCTACCAGCAGCTCCTTAGAAACCCTAACCAGGGTTGCTATGAGTTGGAACCCACTGAAAGGCACTAAACAACAACATTACCCAGGAAAAAAGCATTATCTGTGCTTTTCACAATGAAACTACATCTTAACTGCCTTAGGCATTAATTCATCATCATCTGAGCCCGTTTTAAGCTAGAAGGGGGAAACGCAATCTCGTTCATATTATGCTCTTACTTTTGTAAGACCACATTTTATTTGTGGGTCATTACAAATATTTGCTTTAAATATGAAAATTAAAGAACTTTATGGAAAAACCCCAGTATATTACTTTACCCACTGATTTCAATTTAGCAGTAGTTATAATTACAACTTTAGGATAATGGTTTTTCTTTTCCTTTACTTTATAGACTGATTGGAGCTGAATACAAAATTTCAAAGAGCAGCTTGAGAAGACAAAGTCAAATATATTGAAAGGTGCAAAGATCTGGAGTTAGAAAACCAAAAGGGAAGAACATACTCAGCATTTCTCAAGCTGAGGGAACTGAAGACAAAATTCAAGCTTCGACTTATACTATTGAAGGGCACTATAATGGAGTCCTGGTGTGGTGCTGTGGGTTAATGCACCAGACTGCAAAGCTGTTTGAACTGTAAGGTTGGTGGTTCAAGCTCACCAGCTGCTCCTCAGAAACCCTATACAGGGTCACTATGGGTCGGAATCGACTCAACAGCACTTATCAACAACAACAACAATAGGTAAAATAAGGAGCTCTGGCAGCGTAGTGGTTACAAATCGGGCTGCAAACCTTAAGGTCAGCAGTTTGAAACTACCAGCTGTTCTGCAGGAGAAAGATGAGGCTTTCTGCTCCCATAAACACTTACAGCCTCGGAAACCCCATGTAGGGTCACCATGAGCCAGAACCGACTTGACAGCACTTAACAACATGGGCAAAATAATGAAGAATGCAGAAAGCACCAAAAAAAAAATGGGAGGAATACACAGTCACTGTACCAAAAAGAAACTGTCCATGTTCAACCATTTCAACAATTAGCAATATGATCAAGAACCGATGGTAATTAAGAAAGAAATCCAAGGTACACTGAAGGCATTGGCAAAGAGCAAGGCACCGGAAATTGATGGAATACAAACTGAAATCTTTCAACAAATTGATGTGGCATTGGAGGCACTCACTCATCTATGCCAAGAAATCTGAAAGACAGCTACCTGGCCAACTGATTGGAAGAGATTCATATTTGTACCCATTCCAAAGAGGTGACCCAACAGAATGCAGAATCATCAGACAATATCTTTAATATTGCAAGCAAGTAAAATTTTGCTAAAGATAATCCAAAAATTATTGCTAACAGTTCATAGATAGGGAACTGCCAGAGGTTTATGCCAGAATCAGACAAGGATGTGGAATGAGGGATATAGCTGTTAATGTCACTACAAATGAGTAAGTAAGCACAAGTAAGCCTGTGCTTACCCTTGCTTGCTAGGTACTCTGTCCCTGTCAGGGAATATTTGAAAAGAGGCTTTGATTCTATAGGAAGGTGATATGGGGTTGGAAGAAAGACAGATGCCAGCCATATGGAGAAGCAAAACCTTTGATGAGGTGGAAACATGTGAATCTGTTCACTACAGATTAGTAAGGAAGCACACAGAAGCCCATGCTTACCTTGTTGGGTAATCTGACACTGCTTTTAAGGCATTTTAAATGTCAAGGACCAGTTCAATATCTTTCTCTTGAAATCTTTGTGACATGAAGTACTTCCTTTTCTATGTTCTCTCAATGTTTCCTGTCATACACCCTGACTGGAACTTCTGCCCTGTGCCTGATCTATCCACTCTCCTGTTCTCTGGAGAAGTCCACCATTCAAACTGCTTTAACCAAATTCCCTCAATTTGGAATATTCACTCAGTTTTGCTGCGGTTTTGATCTCTCACCAAAGCTGCAGGTCCACGATAATGAGCGCCCTATGTCTCACACCGAACATGACCAAATAACTTTCACCACTCACCAGAGCTGGCAAATTACTCAACCTGTCACAGTCTCTGTTACCTCAAGCATAAAGCAAAGATAACCACAATAAAGTACGAGGAGGCTTCAAAAAGTCTGTGGAAAAATATATGGGATTTCTCCATAAAGTGAAACCCCCTATTCGAAGTATTCTCTGATACCACATTCAAAGTTCTGGCACAAGAAATGCTGCAACTGATGAGGAGAATCAGTAACAATGATGAACAGCTTCACCAAAACCATCATCCACAGTTCAGGGGCAGCAGGGTTCCCCTTTCTCCTCATGCTTCACACTCAAAATATCCTGACTTCTCTGTGCTGTATGCTGCCGCCGCCACACTTAGTCTAACAGTATAATGCCTCAAAACTAGACCATTTGACTGCTTCCATACTGTAGTGATTACGAATCAGTTTGCTAACCTTAAGGTCAATGGTTCAAAACTACCAGCTATTCCGCAGGAGAAAGATGAGGCTTTCAGCTCCCTTAAAGATTTATAGCCTCTAAAACCCTGTACAGGGTCGCTATGAGTTGGAACCAACTCCACAGCACACCACCACCACCCTGCCCAACCTGATTAACGTTTTTCTGCACTTTGGTGTCAGAGAAAATACAAGTAAGTCAAAAAGTATTGCAACTGAATCACAGAAACCTTCATTAAACAAAAATAGATTGGAATCCTAATTCTACTATTTCACTATTTAAAGAGCTTTGGGAAAGCCTTCATTTTGCTGTTCTGAAGTATGTTCACTGACTGATTGCTCATACATTCATACAACATATTCTTATTTAGTACCTTTTGGAGTCCTAGTCTGGCGCGGTAGGATAGACACTGGACTGCAAAGTTGGTTTGAACCACAAGGCCAGTGGTTCAAACTCACCAGCTGATCCTTGGAAACCCTATTCAGAGTGGCTATGAGTCAGAACCGAGTCAATAGCACTTAACAACGTAAGTATTGAGTCTACTAAAATGGAATTTAAGAAACTCTGATATACATTCTAGAACATTGGTATAAACTCTGACGTATGTTCTAGAACATTGGTATAAACTGATATATGTTCTAGAACATCCATATAAATTCTGATATACGTTATATACGTTCTAGAACATTGATATAAACTCTGATATATGTTCTATAACATTGGTAGAAACTTTGATAAACATTCTAGAACATTGGTATAAACGAAATGGAATTTAAGAAACTGATAGACATTATAGAACTTCAGTATAAACTCTGATAGAACATCAGCATTAACTCTGATAGACATTCTGGAACATTGATATAAACTCTGATATACGTTCTAGAACATTGATATAAACTGATACATGCTCTAGAACATCATAATAAACTCTGATGTACATTCTATAACATTGACATAAACTCTGATATATGTTCTAGGACATAGGTATAAACTCTGATATATGTTCTAGAACATAGATATAAACTCTGATATATGTTCTAGAATATAGATATAAACTCTGATATATGTTCTAGAACATCAGTATAAACAAAATGGAATTTCAGAAACTCTGATAGACATTCTAGAACATCGGCATAAACTAAATGGAATTTAAGACACTCTGATATATGTTCTAGAACATCAGCATAAACTCTGATACACGTTCTAGAACATCAATATAAACTCTGATGTGCGTTCTAGAACATTGATATAAACTGATATACGTTCTAGAATATAGATATAAGCTCGGATATATGTTCTATAACATCAATATAAACTCCGATATATGTTCTAGAACACTGATATAAACTCGATATACATTCCAGAACATTGATATAAACTAAATACAAGGAAACTTCTGCTTGGGCACCCAGATAAAGCTTGAGAAAGGAGGTGACTCTTCAGATATCCCCTGACAAATAAAAAGAAATTTGCAAATAAGCAAGGATGAGAACCAAAAGCAGGGGAAAACAGTGAGAATGGCCAGACAACTTACAGAACGCAATCAGTGTCACTGAATTATTCATGTAGAAATTGTTGAATTGGTTGGTATGTATTTTGTGGCATATATTTTCACAACTTAAAAAACAAAAAAGGCAGGCATAAAGAAATGCACAAACAATATGTCTTAGAGTACAGAAGTACCAGAAAATAGTAATTCCTAAAGGTCAGCACACAGGGAGCTGAGGAAAGCAGATTGGAAACATAAGCAGGAGTCAGATTATACAAACGATTATGTGCTGTGGTGTGCAGTCTAGATTTGGGTAGAGATAAATAGACCAAGGAAAGATTTTTAAGCAAGAAAGTTCATAATCAAACTGGTGTATCAATAAGACCACACTGAGCATGGTATGAGTGATGGGCTGCAGGGCTGACAACCAGCTGAGGAGTTGAAGCAAGTGATGGTGCTGGTGATTGTGAGCCACCAAGTCAGTTCCGACTCATGGACACCCTGTACAGGGTTTCCGAGGCTGTGAATCTTTATGTCAGCAGAAAGCCTCATCTTTCTTTCATGAAGAGGCTGGTAGATTCGAACTGCTGACCTTGCAGTTAGCTGCCCAGCTAATATTCCACTATGCTACCAAGGTTCCTTAGATGAGAGATGAGGAGAACAGTCAGATGACCAGTTCAAGAGCTATCAGGGACAGGACCGATAGGATTCTGCAAATGAATGTGATGGGGAGAAGGGAGCTTGGGGACAAAAAAAGGATTCCAAGGTTTCTGGGTTAGAAGATAGAAAATAAAGGAGACCCATGTGTGTGGACTGAAATACTGGCTAGGCTGAACAGGAGGTATCTGGAACACCCATGTGAAGCTGCCCAGAAGCACCTGGAAAAAAAGGCAGCTGAGGAACACCCGAGAAATGTCTGGGTTAGAAATACCGGGAGTATGATCACACAGTAGGGATACAGAAAGTTCACATAATATTACCTCCCTAAAGAGCGCTGGTAGCGTAGTGGTTATAAATCAGGTTGTGAACTGTAACATCAGCAGTTCGAAACTACCAGCTGCTCCGTGGGAGAAATATGAGACTTTCTGCTCCCATAAAGATTTACACCTCAGAAACCATGTACAGGGTCGTTATGGGTCGGGACCGACTTGAAGGCACTTAACAACAAAGGAGCCCTGGAGTCCGAGTGTGGCGCTGTGGGTTAATGCGCCAGACTGCAAAGTCGTCTGAACTGCAAGGTCGGCAGTTCAAGCTCACCAGCTGCTCCTCAGAAATCCTATACAGGGTCGCTATGGGTCGGAACCAACTCGACAGCACTTCACAACAAGAAGGAGCCCTGGTATTGTAGCAGGTTACACACTGGACTATAACTTCCAGTTTAGCAGTTTGAATCTACCAGCTACTCAGCAAAAGAATGATGAGGCTTTCTGCTTCCATAAAAGATTCACAGCCTCAGAAACCCTGCACAGGGTGTGTATGAGTCGGAACCGACTTGGTGGCACACCACCACCAGCACCATCACTCGCTTCAACTCCTCAGCTGGTTGTCAGCCCTGCAGCCCATCACTCATGCCATACTCAGTGTGGTCTTTTTCATGAACCAATTTGATTATGGCCTTTGTTGCTTTAAAATCTTTCTTTGATCTATTTATCATCTACCCAAATCTAGACTGCACACCAGAGCACGTAATCATTTGTATAATCTGACTCCTATGAGTTCACTGAGTCAGAACGAACTCAATGGCACACTCCTTTCTAAGGGAGTCTCTGGAAGGTACAAACAGCAAACATGCTTGACTGCTAATCAACTGGCCGACGATTCAAGTCCACTCAGAAGTGCCTTGGAAGAAAGACCTGGTAAATCTACTTCTGAGACGTAAAGCCATTGAAAATGCTGTGAATCTATGGGAATCAAGTTTTACAAAAGATAATACAAAAACATCAGCAACCGTACAATGACAGAGAACTTCCGAAGGGTCAAGCTAGATTCAGGTAAGAATGTGGAAAAAGGGATATCACTGTTGATGTCAGATGGATCTTGGCTGAAAGTAGACTACAACATGTTTCTCTGATAGCGTAGTGGTTACGAATCAGGCTGCTAACATCAGGGTCAGCAGTTCGAAACTACCAGCTGTTCTGTGGGAGAAAGATGAGGCTTTCTGCTCCCATAAAGATTTACAGCCTCGGAAACCCTGTGTAGGGTTGCTATGAGTTGGAACCAACTCCATAGCACATAACAACAACAACCTATACTTTATTGACTATACCAAGACTTTTGATTGTGTGGATCATGACAGGCTATAGACAACATTGTGGAGAATGAGTATTCTGAAACATTAATGTGCTCATGTGGAACCTGTACACAGACCAAGAGGCAGTTATTTGAACAGAACTAGGGACCACTGAATGGTTTGAAATTAGGAAAGGTGTTCATCAGGGTTGTATTCTTACACCATACTTAATTCAGTTTGTATGCTGAGCAAATAACCTGAGAAACTAAGACTATATGAAGAAAAACGTGGCATCAGGACTGAAGGAAGACTCATTAATAACCTGTGATATGCAGATGATACAAGCTTGCTTGCTGAAAGTGAAGAGGACTGAAAATACTTACCAATGAAGATCAAAGACCACAGCCTTTGGTAATGAAAACAAAAATCCTTACCACTCAACTAATCAACACCATCCATATACATAGAGAATAGATTCAAAAAAAGAAAAGAAAACTCTGTGGAGCTCAGTTCTGCTCTGAGACATAGGCTCCTCACAGGGCAGGTCGATTCAACAGCAAACTGTCTATCTTCAGAGGATCACTGAGGTGATCAAAATGAAACAACAGAAAATGCGCTGCGTAAACCAAGGTGGATAATGGTCTAGAATGTCGAAAGATTAAAATACTGAAAGAATAAGAAGTAAAAATCAGTTCAGGTTGCACAAGTGAAAACAGCCCTGCAGTTCACGAGGTGGGAGGTACAGACAGAGACAGGGGCAGCAGCGGTGTGGACAGGAAACAATGTGTGCCTCAAGCACTAAAATGCCTCAGCGAGCCTCTGAGTGACTACTGTCTCTCAGGCAGCATTGCCCATGACCTGCTTTGCTGTTTCTCACCTCGTGAATAAAAATTACTGCAGATATTTGATTGCTGAACAGCACTCGTCTCAGGACAGTACTCGATCCCAGATGAATTTCCTGCTTCTCCTCATCTGGGCTCAACCAACCAAGAAGTGATGCCTGCTTCCTCAACCTCCTCAGAATCCTTCCTTCTTGAGGAAGGCGCCTTCTTCCCTCACTGCATCCTCACAGTGATTCTGACTTGGTCGACCTTGTCTGTCTGGCTTAGACTGACTGGGCTTCACAGCCCTATCACACAAGAAAGTACTAATAGTTTGACATCGTTTCTCACACACTACAGCTGAGATGTAAGCCAATATGGAGATATCAAATGAGTCAGAAAGTCCAAGTAGGCTTGAAAATGCTGATGTGGAAAGAGTATATATATATATACACATATATATATATATCACTGAGCACCGTTGTATTCATAAAAGACACGCTAAATTGAGTTCTGAATCTCCATCATCTCACTTGTAAGATAATGTTCAGATTCTGCTGTTTCATTTGGTCCTTGACACATGCTCTTCTTTTAACAAATATTTATTAAATACTGCATATGTCAGCCCTGCTCTAGGTACTGGAAATGTACCATAAGCTTGCTAAGTACACAAGTGGGAAAGAAGCACTTTAAAGATCGAAAGGAATCTAAATAAAAACTTGGATGCAATTAAGAATACAAGGTGTAAAACCGCAAGTATTTCAGGAAAACAAACACAGAGTGGATAAGACAGCAGGAGAAGGGGAAGGGATAGATGGGAGCCCGGGGAATGGAGTCTGGGTTGAGGATGAGGGCTTAGATGCAAGATTAGAGAAAGAAAGTTCGGTAACGAAGTTTCCAAAACTGCCAACAAAAGATAAAGGCCAAAACAGATTATTTTAAGACTTGAAAAAAAGTCTTAAAATACATGCCATCTGCTACAGAAATAAATCAAGATGCACACTTGTTTTTAAGTGGAGGACAAGCTGGGCATGTCTGCAGACAGTTTCCCCATCAGTAGGAAATTCATACACACCAAAATCATCACAAATCTCCATAAAAACAAGCAAAAAGGCCAAATCCTCAGGTATGAACATGTGACATTTTTCAAACCTATCGATTCCTTTATTTCTCACTATCCTAAGTAACACAGTAATAACACCTGACAGCCGCTTAAGCCAGAGGTTCCACAAAGGCTTAAAACACAGGCTTCCTCGGTGCTTTATTGCTCCATGAGGGCTATTTCATTCAATTATAATGACATTTCAATTTGGAATACACAGTTGCCTCTCCCTTTAAATGTTAAATTGGCTTGTTTGGGTACAAAAAACATCAAGTAGGCTCTATTACATGTAGGATTAAAAAGGTATCTCTAGCAATATTAATAGTTGAATACACCATTTTCATTAACAATGGACTATTACAGATGCTATCATTTTTTTCTTTAGCAGAAAGTATAATTTGCTTAAAAAAAAAAAAAATTAAAATACTTACACACTAGTCACAGCCCTATCAGACACTCCCTATGACTTGGCTTTCTAAGTAAATACATATTTATTGAGTCTACATCACTGATAACAAACAAAATTAAAACAAATCATAAGAAGAAAAGGGCTTCAACTGAGTCTGGACAGGGTAGGCGCCCCAAGATCATAAAAAACAAATCACAATTACCTTCAAGATTCTTCAAAATGAGGGAAAGACCTCTAATACTCTAATATATGTATTGAGTAGATTAACTAAGAAATTCTGTAGTGATATCTATCTGAGAAAAATCCAATGATTCAGGATAAATACCGGGTCATTAAAGAGTAAGCGTCCAAATAACTGCTTGGCCTCCTCCAGGCTTCCCTCCAAGTACACAGCTCCTAGAGGAAAACAAGGGATGCCCAAGGGCAGGCTGCTTTAGTATCCAGAGAAAATGATGCATTTCAGCAAAAAGACAAGGAAAAAATGCACACACAGGAAATAAAGGACAAGGTCAGAGGCAAGTGTTTCAAAATGTAATGTGGTTAACCCTCTTTTTGCTTGCTTTGTAGTAGAAATTCACTGTACTAAAACAGAAACCCAATATCATACACCAAATAGGAACTACCATAAAGTGTGTAAGCATGAACGCTGTTAAGGGAACTCTGTATGAATAACTCTGTTTTAAGGGAAATACTGTTTTATTTTCTGTATTGGTGGGTTAGACCAAATACATACAGGCATCTAAAGAGAAACACCTGCAAATATCTGAGTCTAGCTCAATTGGAGGCTCTTGAAAATACAAGCCAGGGCAGCCTTTACCTTGAACTTACAAGACTTAAGTACTGTGGGATAATGCACTGGACCACAAAGTCGGTTTCAACTGCAAGGTGGCTTGTTCAAATTCACCAGATGCTCCCTGGGAACCCTATATAGGGTCGCTATGAGTTGGAACCGACTCGACGACACTTAACAACAACTGTGGGCACTGGACTGCTAAGCATAAGGTCAGCGGTTCAAACCCACTAGCCGCTCCTCGAAAATCCTATACAGGATCAAAATGAGTCAGAACCGACTCGATGGTACTTCAACAACAACAATATAGTAACCAGTACTATGTTGTTACGTGCCATTGAGTCCGTTCCGACCCATGGCGACCCTGTACAGGGTTTTCAAAGAGTAGCTGGTGTGTTTGAACTGCCAACCTTGCAGCTCAAACTGACCTTGCAGTCCAGCACATTATCCTGCAGCGCCACACCAGGACTCCAGTACTACAGCAACCTTTGCACTACATACCAAGACTCAAGTAACTGTAGAGGCCATGTTGTTGGTTGCTGTTGAACTGCCTTTGACTCATGCAGACCTTGTGTGGAACAAATGAAAATACACAGTCTAGCACCATCTGTGGGGCAGTCATATTTTCTTGTAATCATATTTTATACCTGTCTTTAAGAGGGCTATTTTCCACATAAAACTTCAAGAAACTTAAGTTACCTAGGCTTTTGATGTCTAAATACATTGAATACTTTTAGTAGTACTACAGAGCATGGTACAGAGTCCTGGTATGGTGCTGTAGGATAAGCACTGGACTGCTAACCACGAGGTCAGCAGTTCAAACCCACCAGCCACTCTTTAGAGATACAAGGTTGCTATGAGTCAGAACCAACTCGACGGCATTTAAATACATCAACAACAGAGTGCAGTGGCTCTGTAAGATAAACATGGGATTGAGTAACACAAGGTCAGTGGTTCGAGCCCACCAGCAGCTTCATGGGAGAACGATGAGGCTTTCTGCTCCAACAAAGATTTAAAGCCCTGGAATCCCAATAAAGGATGGCTAAGAGTTGGAACCAACTTGATGGCACTTAAGAACAGCTTAGGAGGAATGGTTTGGGGGCCAGTTAGACTGCAGGGTCCACGCGAAGCATTTTCATTCTTCTTAGAGCCCTGCAGTGAAAGTGGGTTAAACAAGATCTAAAGGATTTGGTTTTGTCTTAGGTGATTTGGAGGACAGTTAAGAAAATGGAACTTTGCTGTGGATTTAGTGCTGTCAGAACTACATATCAAAATGCTTACAGCACCTTGCGACATAGGTGGCACTATCTCTCTCTCACAGATGGGGAAATTGGGGCTCAAAGAAATGAAATAATTTGCCAAAGATGCAGAGCTGGTAAATGAAGACTGTGGGAATCGAATCATGGCTGCTGGCTCTGGAGCCAACCACAACACTGCCTGTCAAAACTGTCATGTGTACAGATCACAGTAATTCCAGGTGACAACTCTTCAGCCATCACTGTAAAGACTATGGATAATTATTAAATGTCTCGTTACCACTGTTAGCAAAAAAAAAAAAAAAAAAAGGCAAGCCTTTATTTTCATTTTCAAAGGAAAGTGACACAATGATAAGTACAAAGGTCTCTGAAAAATAAAAATGTCCTTAATCATTTAGCTAAAAAAAAAAAGAGAAGAATCAAAAAGCTGTCAATCCTCAGTAACATTTAGCTGTAAAACATCTTGGCAATCACCAGCTAATTAACTCCAACTCAATGGTACCTAACAACAACAACTTTCCTGTGCTAACAGCTAACTGAATTCTGGTGACAGTAAAGAAGAAACCAAGGAAGTAAAGTGACTACAGGAGTCTTGCTTCAAGTAAACAAACTGTAGTTACATAGACTCAAGTTCTGGGATTTACACATCTGTACACGTGGTATTTTTGACAGGTAGTGTTCTGGTTGGTTGCAGAGTCAGGCAGACATGGTTCAGATTCCAGTTCCTTCATCTGTCAATTCTGTGTCTTTGGCCAAGTTATTACATCTTTCTGAGTCTCAGTTTCCACATCTATGAGATACAATATCACCTGCCTCGGTATCACCTAGAGTGCTGTGTGTTTGTTTGTTTGTGGACCTCACCAGAATTTTAACTTCTGTTCACTTATGATGTATGCAATCCTGAACCAAATCTGGCAAGTAATTAACCCCCAAATCAACTGATGTCCATTCAGTTCAGTAAATACTTACTAGGCTTCTATACAACTTCAGACACCTTTTCAGGTGCCAAGAATGCAAAGTAGTTAGCAAGCACCACCACTGCTCTGGAGGAATGAAATCCAAGACAATACAATGGGATGGGTGTTACACTGGGTACTTCACATGCTTTGGGAACAAGTCAATCTGTGCCAAATCTCCACTCTGACACCTTAGAGACATCAGAAAGTAGATTACGAAAAGAGAACTTACCTATCAATGCTTCAAAACAATTAGCCATTGCATGTCGCAGATCTGATTCTCTACAAAGGTCAGGTCCATGAGCATAAAGCATAAATCGGTCCAGTTCAAGTTTCTACAAAATCCAAGATGACAAAAAGTAAGAAACTGACAAAATTAGAAGTAATCATTCACTATCTCGTGGTGGGAGAGGGTGTTACAAATACACTCCTGTATTAGGAGAGTTTGTCTACCACTCAGCTCTAACTAACCCTGACTCTTCCCCAAATAGGCTTCCATACACTAGTAGTTCTAGGGAGTTCAAAACTGGTTAGAACTGAGCTAGCTGTCCATTTCCAAGTTCAGACCAAGCACTGAGCCAGGATGGAAGTAAGGTACTACGACAAAACCATGAGTCCCTGGGCGCATCCAGTAAGTCTAGGAAACCGCAAACCTAATCCAAAGTTTTAGATGTCTGTTTTCTCTCTTGAATTACAGAGTACTATGGCACTGATAAGTACCACAAAGAGATTTTTGGACAATATGGTATGGGGGAATCCTTTGAAGACTTCAAAACGTCTACTACGACTACATTTTTATCTAAATTGGGTGAGAATGTCTGGGCCCCTACATCTCGGTACTTGAGTCCCTTTTACAACATGGTTGGTTAGGCATTGGGCTGCTAACTGCAAAGTGAGCAGTCTGAATCCAGTAGGAGCTCCATGGGAAAAAGATAAGGCTTTCTGCTCCCACAAGATTGACAGCCTTGAAAAGCCTATACTGGGTTGCTATGAGTTGGAACTGACTTGACTAGCATACTGCAGCAATAGCAACACATTTATTTGGGTGAGACTTTCTGAGCAATAGTGGGCTAATTTTAAGGACTCTGGGAATATAGTTCGTAATGAATTGTGTCTCCTTTTTAGCTCTGGCCTCAAACATATAGCCAAATTTTTGGTCCACTTCTAGAAATCATGTAGGATTTATGAATACACCTGTGTGTGTTGACTTTACCTCTGGCTCCATTCAGTGCTCTTTTTATTTCTGACATAGCTAAACATCCTACTGTATGATAATATGCAAATCAACTCAAATTCTTTTATAGTCAGTCACCATATGGAGTCCTTGTGTGGTGCTGTAGGATAAGCACTCAACCTCAAGGCCAGTTTGAACCGCAAGGTCGGTGGTTCAAGCTCACCAGCCACTCCTTGGAAGCCCTACACAGGGTCGCTATGAGTCAGCACAGACTCAATGGCACTTAACAACAACAACAGGCACTGTGCAGGTTTACAATATGCCTGAGACTACAAAAATGATAAAGACTTCTTTCCATAAAAGGCAAAAGACACAACCATTGCAACTCTAGGTTTTCACATGCTTAAATTGTTTTCTTTACCATGCAATTCAATTCAATAAATACTTACCAAGTAATAGCATGCCATGAAATATCCAACAAGTCACAAGCCAGTGAACAAATTTAGGACAATATGAGTCTCATCAGCCCTTAGATAAAAGATATTTAGATTTTGTGTGTCTCAGTGTGTTATGTTAAATGCCTGTATCCATTTATAGTGAGAAAACCCACAAACAAGAAAAACAAGACATATATGCAATCTGTATTTTGTAGTACTAGGAATTCATGAATAAGAACACTTACATAGAAGTTTAGACTACTACAAACACAAAAGCAGACAACACCTCTTTTCAAAAATTGATCCGAAAGTCTTAAGAATTTATACTACAATATACAAATTTCACCGGTTTCAAACTTTCACAGGGGAAATCCAATTGTTTACTCTCTCTGGAACCAGGATTGAGAGTGGATGGCAGGCCATATTCTAAAGTGTCATGAATTCCTCAGATCCTTAGTCTCTCCTGGGACTAGTAGAACCGATGACAAGCTTTCATTACATTCTCAAAGGGGTCAGCAACTCTCATCTATCTCTTCCACCCGCAAATGGTGAAGAGCCGCTATTCTACACAGAAGAAAGGCGGCACCGTCACAGCCTTCTGCTGGAGCAGGTGGGAGGTGCGTGACCCAGGAATGGCGAGGCTTGGGTGTGGGGCAAAAGATCACAAAGAAATCCCAGAATATACAAATTGGACACCACTGGCAATCCTCAGAGCTCCATATACCTCCCCAAGTGCCATGATACGACTTCTGTTTTAATGTAGGTACAGTGACCCACACTTCATGCATATTATCTTGGCAGTTAGCTGAAAAGTATGCAATTCCATTATATCCTAAAATAAGGAGGAAACAAAGGGGGAAGGGGAGGAATAACATATGCTTTCCAATAAATACACTAGGAGGTATTTTAACCATTAAATCAACTAAACACTACACTAATTAACAGAGCGTTTTCTATAGAATTACCTCATTCTTTGTGAGGTAGTTAAAGCCAAGTTAGCATACCTGTTGCCTAGAAGTCTTCAAGAAGGCATCGGTATTTATAGTCTCAAATGTCGAAGACTGGTTCAAAGTCTACCACTGGAACTATGATGATAACATTACAAAAAATAGAACAATGCATTTTTTTCTAACACAAAAACCACAGACTAAAATTATCCACATTCTGAATATAGTGAATGTCTTAGCAAGGTCAAGTAAAGAGTCGATTATAAAACTGAGATGGGATTTCTGTTGTTGTTTTTCTGTCAAATTCCAACTTTTATAACTAAATGAAGGGGGAAAAAAGTCACTTAGGGCAAAAGTCTAGGAAACCTCACCAGCCCACTGCCAGTGACTCTTCCTCATTTTTGGGGGAGTGTAGCATCAGTTTCCCTCACAATTGAGTAAACCCGATGTAACAGTGGCCAATGACAACAGTGGTTGTTGTTGTTGTTGTTGTCAGGTGCCATCGAGTCGGAACCGACTCATAGCGACCCCATGCACAGCAGAACGAAACAATGCTCAATCCTGGGCCAACCTCACCACCGCTGCCACCCCCGAGTCCATCAATGATGCCACCTGGCCGATCCATCTCGTTGGAGGTCTTCCTCTTTTTCTCTGAC